CAGAGAATCATTGATCGGCTGCCTCCTGTATGCACCCTCCTGGGGATCAAGCCTGCAACCTGGGCATGTGCCCTGACTGGGAATCGAAGCTGTGACTTCCTGTTCATAGATCGACGCTCAACCACTGAGCTACGCCGGCCGGGCAGGCTGGTGGTTCTTACCAGACATTAACATTAGTGACAATCCACAACCCACTGGATAACAAGAGTGTGGGTGCCATGCAGGAACAGTTCCCCGAAAGCCCTTGACAGCCAGGCCTTTCAGACACCTTGTAGCAGGCGGAGGTAGGAGAGGGCAGGGACGTGTGTAAATGAGCCGCCTGGCTCTTCCGTCTCACCGGCCGCACTTTCTGTGATAGGAGCGTTTTGTGGCCTCGTTTCATGCATCACCACAGGCCTGGTTGGGCATGTGTTGAGGTCATGGGTAGAAAAGCGTTTTGCAAAGTTGCTAATGTAACATGCAATTCTTTTATTTCCGTCTAAAATCTCCTTTCTGTGGGAAAAACACTTTTCACTCAACCATAGTTTCTCTTACTGAAGTATCTTGTTCATGCTACTTTAGGCAAGGGGAGGTTTTCATCCATCGGGGGTGCATTCTGGAGGAGCCTCATTTTCTAACTTAATTCTAAGACCTCATCTTTACAACTTGGATTATTTTTGTATCGTATATGTTTTTTGCCCACTGGGGTGTAAACTTCCTCAGGGAAGAAGTATAACGCCTGCCCATAAGGAGGATTCTGTAGATCTTTGTAAAATAGCCAGATCTAACGATTCTATGTGCTAACGCTGCTAACTCTCAACCCTGCCCCCCTCCTTGTTTGTGTGAAAAATAATTTTTTATCTGTGTACCTTTACTGGGGAAGCTTCTGCAGGTCTCTGCAAGAGAATTAGCCAACATTGCAGGCAAGGGCAGACATTTCAAAGAGAAATGTTACCAATATTACTGCTTTCAGGGTAGACATAATATCATGCTATAGCGAAACATTATGAAACCATTTCTGTTTGAAGCTGATTCACTGAACCAATAATTTGAAATTCAGCTGATGTTAGAGATTTTTTTATTTAAAAATGACTGTTGGTCTACTAGACTGGCAAATTATATAAGTCATAAGAAACGAAAGAGCTTTGTTTTCCACCTAGCGCTCCGTTAGGGACAAATACAAACTCTAAATCTCCTAAGCAGCATTTGGGGAATTTTTTTTATAAGTCCAGCATCTATTTTGGGTTTCTACATAGTTGCCCAGAAGCAGCTAATTTGAAGAAACTAATATGAATTGTTTTTTTAAAAAGGAGGGGGTGTCCCTGGCCAGGTGCCTCGGTTAGTCGGAGTATAGTCCCTGCACCAAAAGGTTGCGGGTTTGATTCCCTGTCAGAGCGTAAACCTAGGTTGCCGGGTCAGTCCCCAGTCAGGGTGTCTCTCTCTCTCCCTCCCCCCTTCCCTTTCCTCTTCCTCTCCCTCTCCCTCCCTTCCTCTCTTCCTCAAATCAATAAACATACCCTCCTGTGAGGATTTTAAAAAAAGGAGGTGGGGTAAGATGGAATTGGGGTGGAGGGCAAGTTCAGGCTTGTGGTGGGCAGAATTCCAAGATGGCCTTTAAGATTCCCACACCTTCTCCCCGATATCCAGTCAATAGTCATTTAGTGCAGCTGTGAAGGGTTATTGGAGATGTAATGAAGAGAAAAAGCACCCCTACATGCACACCAAACAAAACAAAACAAAACAAAACAAACAACAAAATAACCCACACAGTAAAGTAGTCCCAGGAAATACGTTTGAGAAAACTGTATAGTTCAGTGTCCTCTTCTGGAGCCACTTAGACACAGTGCGGAGGTGGCTAAATAAAAGAAGAAAAGTGTGCTGTATTTCAGTTAATATCTTCACAATCCTTTTAAGATTAGGGAACATTTTTAAAAGATCCCTATTTTGTTTGTTTTGGGTTAAGCATTTTTTTCAGATAAATCTCTCTACTTCCCGTCCTCCAGGCTCGTCATAAACCACAGACATTTCATTCTTTTCGAACTTAGGATATAACAGGCTCATCCTGCTGATTTAAACACATGGTGGCCAACGCAACAGAGCCCTGAAGTAAGATGGCGTTTGCATCACGCTTCTCCAGGCTGCTGTGACGATGGAAGACTTGGTGCCTGAGTCACTCCTTGAGAGTCGGCCACGTCAGCTTTCTCTAGAGGCGAGCCTGGCCCTCCCTGTCGGCAGAGGCCTGACCCCGGAGCGGCCCCCAGCGTCCAGTCAGGGGAGGAGAGAGCTGAGCGCCCGCGGCTCAGAGCTGAGCTTGAGCACTGCAGGCAGGAGCCACTCGTTGGGAGGAGAGGAAAGGCTTCCAGTAAGGAGACCGAGTTTTAAAAATCAAATGTTCAGAACGTAGTGAAGGCAAATGACTTGTTTCCACAGCAATCTGCAGTGTGTGGATTTCAGATGTTTTATCTATAACTCGTGGTTTAAAAAAAAAAAGCATTTGCATCACTACCCAGTGTACATACAGGGTGGGGCAAAAGTAGGTTTACAGTTGTGAATATACAAAACAGAGTTTCTGCTTGTATTGTTATTTCTTATTGTATTATTTTCCTTACAAACAACTGTAAACCTACTTTTGCCCCACCCTATATGTATACCCAGAACTGAAACAAAAATATCAACGCAACACCCTCGGGTATGCTCTGTTTTATTATTTTTTATTAAGAAGATGCCAGTCAATACCCAGTAGGCTCATCTCTGCTCGCGTCTCACCATCTGGACAAATAGTGCCTTGTATAATGGCCAGTGTTTACAGCCGCTCTCGGGCAGCCCTTGCTTTAGCGTGCTTTTGGAATTACATTTGGGGTTGGTCCATGAATCACAGAAAATGTCATAGAAATTTTTTTTAATGAAAAGTAGCTTTATTCAGCGTGGGTTCCCTTTTTATTTACCAGATGTGGCCCTAAATGATTTGCCCCTTAGTCAAATCAAAGAGCAAAGTTATGGTTGCTTGTTTTCAGAAGAATGTAAGGACTGGAGTGTTAGGATTTAGTTAAAAGAGATTTCGGAGGTGATTCGGGTCAGCTTGCTCATCCTGCGGAGATTCGAAGAAGCATACGTTATAATTTTAAAGAATGAATTCAGGTTGTTGATTAAGAATGAATTAAGGTAGTAATATGTTAATAATAGAATATGTTTTATTTAAAAATATTTTAAAATTGATTTTTAGAGAGAGAGGAAAGAAGAGGGAGATAGAGAAACATCAGTGAGAGAGAAACATCTATTGGCTGCCTCTTGCACACCTCCTCCTGGGGATCGAGTCTGCAGTCCAGGCTGGTGCCCTGACCGGGAATCAGAGGTAACCTCTCAGTGAATGGAACGACGTTCAACCACCTGAGCCACCCTGGCCGGGGCTGTATTTTAAAATACTGTTATGAGAAGTCTGGTGTCGGGAGTGGATGCTTGGATCTGATGTTGGGGTGACTGCTGGCGGGACCTGTAACTTCCCGGTACCGGTGGAGAAGCAGTGATGTCTGTCCCTGTGACTTCCTTGGCTTTGGTTGCTAGGCAACTCTGACACGCAGGAGCTTGGCTATGTCAGCCCAGGCCTAGTGAGAGTGTATGTTATTAGAAAAAATGAAAAAGACCAATTTAGGAAAAGAGATTGTCAACAGCTAGGAAGCTGAGGCTGAAAACCGGGACAGTGCCAGCCTGAAGCTGTGCTTGGTCTTGAGTCTCTGCTTGTCCCGTTCTGCCCTGCCATGGGGTAAGAAGCTTCATACTCAGATCTGAGCCTGCAGTTGTCCAGGAAAGTGAGAGAATGTAAATGAATTTAACGTCTGTAGTCAAAACCTCTTCCCTTCCCTCTAATGAACCTACAGAAATAATCACGTTCCGTTCGCTTGACATTAGGATAGGGCTTTCTCAAGCTTCAGTCTTTGGAACTCGCTCTGTATCGCACTTGCCCTTAACACATATTTGTAAACACTGTGATCCTTTTTGGGCTAGTCGCACAGACTTTTTTATTTTTTAATCAATATATTATCATAGACAAACAAGCTTGAGGGAGGCCAGGTGATAAATTCCCTTCCCATCCACCTGGCATAGTGTGTGAAATAGACAAACAGCGTGTATCTACGAGGGCAACATGCTTAAGTGCTGCAGTTTATCATACAGAGTAAATTCCAATAAAATGAAGGAATCTGATTTTTAAACTGAATCAGGACCAGCAAGTTATAGCTTGTGGGCCAAACAGCATCCCGCCCGTTTTTGTAAATAAAATGTCATTGGAACGCAGCCATGCCTACTCAGTTCTGTATTATTTTTGCCTGCTTTTCCATGACAGTGACCGTGTGGCCTGCAAAGCCTAAAATATGTACTGTCTCATCCTTTGCAGAAGAAAGTTTACTGATCCTTGGACTAAAGGACTATTTAGAGACGAAGTGACTTTTGAATCAAGGCTATTTTCTCTTAAATTGCATGGAAAAATTCTTCTAGGAGATGACATTTTTAAATGAGGTTTAATGGTGGGAAGTGCATAGATTCTATTGGGTGATTGGTACCTACCTTTTTTAGAGTTAAAGATGATTTTTTAAAAATCACTGTACATTAAATCATTAATGCTGAGAAGATACCTGGTGAGGCACATATGAAAGATTAGTGTGACAGGCTCATAATTTAACTGCGCAGTGATGATGGGTTACGCGATTTGGCTGGCATTGCCCAGTTTGATAGACTTCATGATAATTGTGAATTTTAATAAAATCTTACATTTACAAATATTACTCTTGAGATTTTGCTTGCTGTGGATCAATAAGGCTAACCTAATAGTCATTTGCAAAGAGGCTTCATATTTCTCGTGTTTAAATGGCTGTAGTTCAGTGTATTAAAAATGAGTGATGTTTAATCAGATTATTTCTCAGTCGCAGGATTTAAGCAGTAACACGTGGGTCGGCGGTGCTGCATGGCAGGGTGGCGGTTGACGCACGAGCTGCCTAATGTGTGTTTATCTTTTTATTTCTTAACAGACTTGTGGAGGAAAGCAAACTGATCCCACTCATTTTTGAAGTCATCCTGGTAAGGAAATACGCATCTGAAATTTAAAGCTGTTTAAAGTTTTGACCATGTTGTGTAGTTGAGTGCTAACCCTAACTGCCCAGACGACTGTTGTGTGTCTGTCCCTCATGATCTGACTTCACCTCATCGGCCTCAGTTTCCTTGTCTGAGCTCTGTCCCGCTCTGAGATTGTATAGGGACACTGCCCTCTTTTCAAAGTCCTTTGATTTTATTGCTCTTGACTGAAAACCATATGTTGTCTGATGTGGAAAGTACTTTTTCTGAGGTTGGTTTGTGGAGGAAGGGAAGAATAATGATCACTATTCTTCAGTGTGAATTTCTGATGTTCAATGTGAAGCCCTCTGTAGTCACCGGTCAGATCAACAGTTTTAGGCCTGTGGGCAGAATCTTCTTCCGAATGTAGAATAGCTTAGCTTCCATACACCGTTTCTTCACAGAATGCAACTTAATTGGAAGCCATCTGTTCAGGAAAGCCTTCCACCTAAGGTTTCTACGTGGAGGGAATAAAATGGGATGCAGATTGACTTTTCTCACTTCTGATAAATCCCTACTTATAATAAGTACGGATCGGAAAATCAGGGTGAAAATAGAGTTGGTGCTTATACAAGGGAGTGCCCTTGACCAAAGAAATGCCTCCCTGTATGGGGGGGAGGGGAGGCGGGGAATCACGACAGGTTACCCCCTTTGCCAAACACTTTCCCTCCAGAGCTGCCGACAGCACCAGGGGCCAAGTGGGTGACAGACCAGCCTAACCTATCCTGGTCGTGGTCGGAGCAATAACCGGGTTGGTCTGCTAACCCTACACATGGAAAACGAGCTTTCTTCACTCCTCCTGAGACATTAATCTGCAAGTTGTTTGTGTGTTGCTGTGGCTCCACGGGAAAACAGTAATTTTCTTAGCTCCAGATCCCTTTGGCTTTCAGGGGAGCTGGTGGGAGCTGCTGAGCTGTGTGAATTGGGTGGGAGGAGTGGTGGTGGGTTAGAGCCTGGACCGAAATCGCTTCAAATAGTAGAAGGGTGTAAGTGATGTCCACCTGAACTAACACAAAATCATATTGAATGCCATCTGTAATTGAGAAAATTAAAAAAAAAACACCCCAAAACAACAAAATAAAAGCAAATAGTAAAAAGGGATTTTAGAAGCAGTATTAGGAGACGATATGGAGGAAAAGGGGGTGAAGACATATGCAGATCAAGAGCTTTCTAGTGGGGATTTTAAAGCTTTTCTCTTGCTGGTTTGTTGTGGAGGTGGATTCGTTTCTGAGAGCAATGGCTGGTAAGCTGCTGAGTTTGGCCACACACTTGGGCACAGTGGCAAGATCCTGTGCTGTCCAAACTCAGCCACATCTGTCTTGCATTTGAGAAGAGATGTTGTTAGCCCTGGCCTGGTGGTTAGAGTGTCGACCAAGGTTGTGGCTCAATCTCTGGCCAAGGCACACACAAGAAACAATCAATGAATGCATAAATGAATGGAACAACAAATCGAATTTCTCTTCTCTCCCTCTCCCCTCCTCTCTCTCAAATCAATAAAACAAAACAAAACAAAAACAAGAAAGAGAGAGAGGCGTGTTGCAGACAGAGAGACTGTAGAGCTGCCATGGGCCTTAAGGGTGGGTGGGACTCACCCTGGCTGTGGCGGGAGGGCCTCTGCCCTGTTAAGGTCAATATGGCTCCTTGGGTCACTGATGATAAAGTCTTACCTGTTGGCAGTCACCTCGAGGTCTGAAGTCTGCACATAGGAAATTTCTTCTTGCAGGTTCACAAAACCCCTCCATACTCAATTAATCTCTGCATAATGAGCACCTAGGAAGACTTTGCATTTTACAGGCCACAGTACATGTTTAGTTGAGTGATGCATGATTTATTATTTTTTAAAATATATTTTATTGATTTTTTACAGAGAGGAAGGGAGAGGGATAGAGAGGTAGAAACATCGATGAGAGAGAAACATCGATCAGCTGCCTCCTGCACGCCCCCAACTGGGGATGTGCCCGCAACCAAGGTACATGCCCTTGACCGGAATCGAACCTGGGACCCTTCAGTCCTCAGGCCGACGCTCTATCCACTGAGCCAAACCGGTTAGGGCGTGATGCATGATTTAAACCCTCGTTCTTGTGTTGTGGCATCGGAGGGGGTGGGTAGACAGTGACCTCTACTCTCCAGGCCAGGATTTCAGCTGGTCCTGAGCCCCGTGACCTCACAGGCACGTGCAGGGTGATGCTCTTCCTCCAGCTGGAGCAGCTCTCTACTCAGGCTTCTCCCAGGACAGTGTATTATAAAGAGGTCCCGCTGCTAAAAAAGTAAAGGAAAAAAAACACATTTGGAAACGACTGCTTTTGGGGACAGGACATAGATGTCCTTGAAGAACATTATTAAACCCCTATTCTACTTTTGTCCTTCGTGAGTCGAAGAAAAATATCAACTTTTCCCCTCTATAGCAATACATTTCCTAATCAATGAAATATCTTTGTAGCAGTTATTCTGTAAACGATTACCATGTCCTTTCTAAATGTTGTCACTGAACTAGGCATAAAATAGTATTTTATTGATTCTATGGTGTGTGCAATTTTTTTTTCCAGATTTTAGCATTTCTGAAAATGGGATATACTTTCCAAATCAGTGGCTTCTTACAATTGCTCTCAGCCAGGTGACCTGGTTGTCATTGCCTTAACCAATTTATTTTACCTTTATTTTTCTTTTTATGTGCCCAAGAGAAAGATATGCTATAAGGTTGTATGTCTGAATAAATCTAAAATAGCTCTTCCCATAAAAATAAAATAAAAATTTGAGGTAATGAAAAAGCATGTCATAGTTTAGTTGGCAGCGTTTTTCTTACTGTTTGATAAAATAATGGTGCATCTTACAACTGTTGGATTCCTAGTTTCAAGAAGACACAGGATATTCTTTAGTTAGGTTTGGTTTCTAAGTTCAAGAGCATATGTAGGGTTTGGATATAGGTAGCAGCTTTCAGCAATGATTTGATCAGGAGGAGACACAATGAAAAGATCGTGCAGGGCCCTGCATGCTTGTCTACTGCTTGTGTCTTCTAGCCACCCACTCAGAAAGCAAAACAGCATTCGAATCATTCAGCTGGTGGTCCACTGTGACCTCTGGATTTTTTTTTTCTTTACTCTTCGCTCCTAACTGTTTTCCAGCTTCTATTTGATGTACTTGGAGCCCAATTACAGGCTTTTATAGCTTCTTTCTTCTTTTCTGGAGTTCCACGCATGCTGTGCTCTTATCAGCAGTGCCTCCTCCCCAGTGTGATTTTCATTGAGAAAGCAAGCCTTTCTCCTCTGATGGGCTGGGATTGCAGGCAAGCGTGTGTGTCTCTCCTGCAGGCCTGGAGGAAAGCGAAGATGAAGAGAGCAGAATTCTGAATCTCATGTCCCGTGGGCACAGAATAGCCCTGGACAAACTTTAAGAAAAGATTCCTGGGGTTGTGCGCAAAAAGCAAGAGCTCCCAGTATGCATCGCACTGGTTACATACATAACCCATTGAAAGTAGTCTTTATTATCTTTTTAAAAAGATGAAAGTAATCTACAATTGTAACTGCCAACTCAGGTAACACAGTGCGCCCTCTAGTCTGGGTGCCTAACATCTGGCCCCCTGGGTGTGTGGGGCAGGGACAGAGCCAGGCGTGGGCACATAATTGGTCAGCAGCAGCGTGGGACTTAATGGAGGAGGGGAGAGGACCCACTGCTCAGTGGGAGGAGAGGAGTCTCACAGAAGAAGTAACCTTTGAATGGGGCCTTGAGGGAGGTGTCATGTGGAGGGGGGTTCGTCCAGCTTGGTGTGCCTGGGCCGGAGACGACGGGGAAGTAGAGAGAGGGAGGATAAGGGGCCATTTGGGCCCAGGTCTGGCAGGGCTTTGTGCTGGGTGGTTCCATGCAAATAGCTTATGATCTCTAAACTCAGTGTCCTCTACTTCAAACAAGCCTTCAGAGCCTCGGTGCTGCAGGAGCTATGAGCAATGAGGAGGTGGCCGCTTGGCCACCGCGGTGAGGCCGGGAGAGAATCAGGCTTGGCGTCCTGGGTTACACTGGACACTTGAAACAGGTTGACAGCTGGACTCTGGGAGATCCCTGCCGGTCTCCTTCAATGAGGCTTTGGAGATCAGCCAAAGGGCTGAGAGGAAGGAAGCCTAAAAGGCAGAGCTGGTCTCCGAGGTCCGATCCCAGGGCCCGGGAGCGCTAACACCACACTCAGGGTGGAGCGTTTTCTATCCTGCGCTGTGCCCCGCTCTGGGCGGGCCAAGCCCTGAAAGCCAGGTAGCTGATCGCTTACAAAAAGGGGCTGTCACAGCAGCCGGCGCTGCTTTCCTGGCAGGGCCACCTGGGTGAGAACACCGGGTTTTTGTGGCAACACAGCAGCCGTGCTGGGCGGGGAGTGGACGCTCAGGCGGCACACAGTGGATTAGCTGAATGGATTCCTACAGTCTTCAGGGTCCACACTTCGGCCACGTATGTGGATCTGCCCAATACATGTGGTTCCTGAGTCCTCACAAGTGCCCGAGGGTTTGGTTTTGGAGTGTCCAGTTGATGGGTGAGCAGGACGGAAGGCATCCTTTTTCCCTTTTGGCCACTTTCTAAGGAGTCAAAGTTGCCTTTAAACGTGTCTCAATTATGCGTCTGAATAGATCGGCCTTTTCATTTTGCTGCGACGGTAATCTCTCTTCATTTTATTTCAGCGGTTTATGTTTTGGCCTATTTCAGTAAATCATTTTAATGCCAAGTAATAGAGGCAAACTGTATTTCATTGGGGAAAAATCTTTATTCATGGCAGATTTTCCAATATGTGCCAAAGTATCGCTGTCATGATGTTTTATGTGTCTGTTCCAAAACAAACAATTAAAGAGCAATTTCAGTGGCAAATGTTAACAATAAAAATGAGATTTGCAATACACTAGTTTGACAATTATATTGTTTTAACAGTTCTCGAAGATAGCTGTTGAAGTAAGCGGCAGTAAATCTTCCAAGTCAACTGTGTCTTTAGGAAA